AATATAGTGGTCACCTATTAAACAAGTTGCCATAAAACTAATTACAAGTCATTGGGTCAAGTGAGGTTAAAGGTTGTCTAGATTGCAAGTCACTTAGGTGATAATTTCAATGCTTGTTCTTATAATCCCATATTTGCATGTATATGATAAGCTCTTATTCTCTCTTAATTTCCTTGGAATTAATGCCTAATGCACCTTAAATTCAGATATGAAATTTACCTCCAATCTTCTCAAAACATATTGTAATTAACTTGAGCTTTGACAAATCAACTTTCCCTTGCGTGCAAGTGCATTGAAACCTCTTGTGTGCCCTATTAGACCATGAAAATCATGCCCAAATGGTCTCATTCCAGGTTTGAATCATGTCCATAATGCTCCTTGGAAGCTCTCTTCAATTGCCCTTGAGTTATGTCTTCATTTGTCACACTAATTCACCTAAGTCACAATCAAATCAAATAATTAAATAACCATAGTGTGACATTTATTTAACTAGACTAAGATATAAAATATTTAACTCATCCAAAGTATTAAAATGACTAAAGAAAAATGAATATGAAAGCCTTATAAAACTCAAGTGTAGATAAGCACACACTTGAACTAAAATTAAAGGTTAATTAGAAACTCTTAAGGAGATAACCTTAAAATGTTGTCTTTTTCTAATAAATATCAATCTAGGATAAATCAATGAAAATTAATTTAACCAATCATATTAGGTTACAAAATACATAAATTTCAAGGTTAACCCTAATTTGGTGCATTTGATGAAAAAATTACCCCTAATGCATATATTTGAACACTCAGGCAAAATTGTACTAAGAATGTAATATCAATGCATATGGAAACTCTTAACATATAGAAATGGTCCTAAAACTAATGCAACCATAAAAATCCTAATTTGCCCTTGAATTTCCAACAAGTGCAAAATGATCAAAATACCCCTAATATGTATACTTTTTCATTAGGGCTCAAAACCCTAATTTAATACTAAGAATGCATATTTTAGGATTTTTTATCATGAAATGTGGTCTTAAATGCCTAAAAAATGTATAACAAATATGACCTATTAATGTGATGCACGTTGCAATGCATGGCCCTTTTTTGGTATTGTTTCCTTAGTTTTAAATATATGTTTGGGGTGATGAATGTAGGTAACTATCTTTTGATGTGCATTATTTAATATTAGATTGATTTCAAGTAGTTTTAACAGAGAAGTCTTGGGTTTTCAAACATTTTCAAATAAATTTACTTGATTTTAGTTGGATAGATTGACGTGGTGATTAAGTAAATCTCTCTTTATATCAATTTAGTGAAGAGATAACAGTTTAATATAGGGAGAGGTTACACTAGTGTAATCAGTGATTGGGCTTCTTTGACGAGGGCTATTGAGAAACAATTTTTACCATTTCCCTATGAGCAACCTAGAGCAAAACTCTTTAGGTTACTCCATACGGGCTCTACAGATGATTATTATTGAGAGTTTATGGTTTTGGCAAATCAAACAAAAGGTTTGAAAGAGGAGATAATGCTCAATTTATTCACAATTGCTCTGAAACTGGAAGTGCGACGAGACGTAATTTCATGATTGCCTAAGAATCTCCAAAAGGCTACTGAGTAGTTGGCAAAGCTATTTAAATCAAAAGGAGAAATACTCTCAGTTCTTGTGAAGTCGAAACCCTCGATCCCTCTAGCAAAGTTGATTGGTTCACCCTCAAATTTGTGTTTAAAATCGTCAAACTTGTTACCTTCACTGTTGCCTACTCCAATTATGAAACCATTAACTAGTGTGAAATGAATGAGCCCGACTGAGATAATGGTTAGAAGAGAAAAGGGGCCATGTACACCTGTGATGCCAAATTCACTCTTGGTCCTTGATGCCACAACAAGCAGTATATGTTGATTGAATGTGAAGAGGACATACCTGATGAAGATTTAGGGGAGGGCAACCAAGAGGAGAAAAAAGGAGAGGGTGAATCTTTGACAATACATCACCATTTTCTACAAGCTTATCAAGGAAAGCCAGGTAAAGCCACTGTTTGTTTTGAAGGGAGTATTAATGGTATTAAGGCACAAGTGCTTTAGATGGTGGTAGTTCTGATAGTTTTATCCATCCATGAATTGCTCAGCATCTTAATTTGCCTATAGAACCTACTAAAAATATAAGGGTGATGGTTAGGGATGGCTGTACAATGAAAGGCGAGGGATTGATCCGTAACTTACAAGTGCAAATATAGGGTCAAGCCATATCTTTCCTCGTTTTTTGTCTTATCTGTAGTTGGTTCAAATGTAGCAATTGGGGCTTCCGGTTGGCTACTTTAGGTCCTTATCTTGTTGATTATACAGTAGGACAGTCTTATATTAAATTCTTCAATAATGGGAATTTCATCATATTGTTGGGATGGATTTGACTGTGGCACAAGTTGAGTCTCACCATTTCCAGAGGCTAATTCACATGAATGTTGTAGCTGAATATTATTTATTATAGGTAGAAGAGATATATGAAATAAAAAATAGAGAAGTGATAAGTGATGGCTTGGAGGAGTTATTGCAGCAATATAGTCAAATATTTGAGAAGTCCTATGGGTTGCCTTCTAAAAGAGATCATGAGAATCACAATTTTTTTTTTTTTTGGCAGAAGGGATAGATCCAGTGAAGGTACGGCCCCATCGATATCCTTTCAACCAGAAACTTGAAATTGAGAAGATAGTCACTGAACTACTTTCGAAAGGGTTGATAAAACCGAGTACAAGTCCTTTTTTAGCTCCAGTGATTTTGGTCAAAAAGAAATATGGGACTTGGCGTTTCTATGTGGACTGTCGTGCTTCAATTGCAGTTACTGTGAAGGATTCTTTCCTTATGCCAACTGTAGATGAATTATTAGATGAATTGGGAGGGTCTATATATTAATCTAAGTTGGATTTGTGTTCTGGGTATCATCAAATACTCATGTATGAACAGATAAGGAGAAAATCAATTTTCACACTCACCAAGACCTATATGAATGGCTTGTGATGCCTTTTGGATTATTAAATGCTCCAGCGACATCTCAAATACTAGAGAGTTTGGTATTTAGCTTTTTTTTTTTTTGCTCAAGTTTGTCCTTATTTCCTTTAATGGCATTCTTGTTTATAGTGCAACTTGGCCTCAACATTTTGAACATATGGATCGTGTACTTGAAGTAATGAACAACCACCAGTCATTTGCGAAAAGGGTAAAATGTTCATTCGGGCATACTAAAGTTGAATAGTTAGGGCATGCAATCTCAACCAATAATGTGGAAATGGATCTGGAAAAGGTACAAGCTATACTAGAATGGCCTATTCCTCAAAACATAGCTCAATTATGGAGATTTTTGGGGCTATAAAGTTATTATCGTTGCTTCATTAAGCAATTTTCACATATTGCACGACCATTAACTCAACTATTGCACAAAGATGCATTTAAATAGTCAAGTGAGGTACACACAACATTTGAGAAGCTTAAGACAGATTTAATTCAAGCTCCAGCTCTGGCTTTACTAAATTTTACCAAGACTTTTGTGTTGGAAATAGATGCTTTAGGGCAAGGCATCGGTGCAATTTTGAGCCTGGATGGACACTCTATTGCTTATTTTTCTAAGAAAATTTCATCGAGAATGCAAGCACAATCTGCTTATGTCAGAGAATTATATGCTAAAACTCAAGTTGTCGCCAAGTTCAGACATTATCTTTTTGGTGTATATTTTGTGATTCGAAAGGATCATGAAAGCCTTAAGCATTTATAAAATCAGGTGATTTAAGCACCAGAGCAAGAGACTTATTTGCCTAAATTTATGGTTATGATTTTTCTATTGAATATAAGCTGGGAAGACCAATTTGCTGCCGATGCTTTGTCTCGATTGTCTCATGCGGGGCTGGTTCAAATACAATCTACTTTGATAGAAGATATTTGACATAGAGCACGTTCCTCTCTTAATATTCAGCATCAGATTAAGCAGTATGAATCGGATCCTAGTTCCATGCCTGGGTATACAGTTCAAAACTTTTATTATATTGGAGGGACAAGCTTATTGCACCTCCAAATGAGTCCGAATTGATTGAGAAGCTATTATTAGACTATCACTCTTCAGTGATAGGAAGCCATGCGGGAGTTCCAAGGACTTTCAAACGCATTGTTGGCTTGTTTAATCCCGTGTAATTAAGGTAAGAATGAATCAATTTGTGGTATCATCATAAAGAAAACCGTAACCGTTTGCTAAGAATTGATGTGTATGATCGGTTGTGTTTGATGGTTTAATTATATATAATAACAAAAAAAGTTTTGGGTGAAGGGCCGGTTACACAACACTAGAGAAAGTCAATTGATTTTTATACTAACAAGTAAACAAATGTTGTTTCAGTCATTATTACATGAGGGAGAAAGTTGTTAAGAATATAATGACGTGGACAATGGCAAATTGGATTGCATATTCGAACGCTCAACCCCTGAGATAAGGACCAATCAAAACACTAATTATATTGAATAAGAATGATTCATTATGTGGTTTCTTATATAATGTTAGGATCACTGTTTGAGACTTTGAGGAATATTAATGATTTTGATGCTTTTGTACCACAAATTTGTTTCATTTGCCATGATGATGGGCACATGAGTGAGAAGAAAATATCAATATGAGTGTCATAATTGTAATTAGTGTATTTTATAGGAACACTCTTGCTAGAAAATAAAAAAAAAGAAAATGATAATTGAAGATTTTAAAAGAGTATTAACATTAAATTAATACTTTTTGACTCGATGTTTTTAAATTTTAATATTTCTTTTATCTTGAATGGTAAAATTTTTAATTTAATATTAATATTTTTATAAAATTTTTATTTATCGTTCTTTCAAAAAAATAAAGTCTAGTCTATGGGAGCGCGTTTCCGTGAGAGCACTTCGATTTGTCTTAATTTTTATTTTTTTAATATTTTAATTTGTTTAGTGAAACCCTTGAACCCCACCCATCAGCATCGGGGTCGAATAGTCCCACCCAATTTCATCAAAGCACAGCCCTCTCCCCCTCTCACTTTTAACGCCCGCCGCTATCGAGACCCACTCTGCCGTCGTGAAAGTCATTGTACATAGCTTGCTCTATTAAGATCGCGCGATCGAAGATCACAACTTCAGCAAGCCGAGCATGTCGCCGTTTCAGATCAGTTGCACATCTCTGTTCTGTCTGTCGCCGTTTGGTCGTTCTGTCAAGTCCATTGCCATTTCAGATCTATTATTCACCTTGAGCTGTCGTTGTTCCAAATCTGATGTTCCATTGAAGCTATCCACCGTCGTTTTGCCTCCATCCGCCGTTACGCTGATAATCCTTGAGTTTCTGTGTTACACTTCTTCTTGCCTGTCGTCCTCTTCTTCTCCCACATTGTCACCCTTCCATCAGACTCTTCAAGTTTTGGTCAGTTCATACATTAAATATCCGCGATTTCTTTGTATTTCTTTCTCTGGCGATTATATATTGGAATTTAAATTCTGAGGAATTTGTTTTTCTTCCCAATATTACCTTCTCACATTTCTTTTCTTTGAATGTGAGTTCGGTGCTGAGAATGGAGCATGATTTTGGGAGTTAAGAGGAGTCTTTTTTGAAGAAGATGGGAGGAAGTTGCTTCTACAAAAATAATAATAATAATAACAACAAACAAACAAACAAACAAAAAACAAAGAAACACACACACACACACACACACACAGAGATAAGTCTTCATGTTTGGCTGTGCCCCTCCTAGGGCTCAACTAGATCCATGGACATTTCATTCGCAATTAGCTCTGGATTAATTTTTGTGAGTTGTTTGATTTGGTGAACAGAGCAAGTTATTGACGGGCTTGATAGAACAGTGTTGGATATGAACAGAGCAACATAGCTATTTACTATGAATTTGAACTAGTGTCATTTGTGAAGGTGAGTTTCGTTTTTGAAGATCTAGCTGTAAGCTTCGCTTATCAGAGTCCAAGCTATTTTTACATTCCCCGGGTGATAATCAAGTTCAGTTGGCTGGATAGAAATAACAAGGTTAATTAATTAACCTTTAGCAGAAATCTTCAATTCGAGGATGAAGACCAACTTATTGTAGATAGTTGAGCCATGTTGTTTAATGATAATAATCAACTCTGTTTTCCAATCTGACTTGATTTATTGGTGACTATACTTCTATATTATATATATGTCATGTGGAATTGCTAATATTGTACCGTATTTTACTTTGTGCTTCTGACAATGGCAGTCTTCAACTTTTCTAGATTCTAATCCTGGAAGGCCACCCCAAAATATCAGGCTACTAACAATCTTAATAATAATTTTATATCCATCTTCTATCAGTTCTTACATCCTCCTCTCCAACGGGAATTCGTAACATCTTTAATTGTCAAGTCTATCGGGTATATATTCCTCTTCAAAGAGGGGTCATGTATTCCTTTTCTTTTTTTAAATCTTATATTTTATCAAGAATTGGAGGAATTAATCTCTTCCATTTGTAAAACAAGTACTGATAAGGAGTGGTGCCTTGCGTCTTGAGCTCTTGGCTCTTTAATATTTGACTATCTTTTTAGACTTGTGCTATTTTCACCCATCTTGCCGAAAGCACTAAAGACTCTATTCTACTGGTAACAAAGTGCTGGACTGTGATTGTGAAAGTTTCTTACTGATAACTGATATATGAGATTACATACTTTAGCAAGAGTGAGTAAGGGGCAAATGACTTTGGACTGTGGTTGTGAATTGCTTGTGGAGGTTGACGCAGTGCAGTTATCACAGGTACATAATGTGCTCTCCACTGTATGTTTGTTTCCCAAACTCGTTGATATTATAACTTTTTTTACCTTGTGTAATTTTACTTTTATTTCTTCATTATGGAACGTTTTTCATGTACGACCAAAATCCTTTTAGTGAACTAGGGATATTGAAGGAAATTTACTATTAGTCACCTTCATGCACGATGATTGTACTCGAACTGTAGTGGTTCTCTTATTTTTGTTCTTTTTTGTTTGTTACTTGTACTATTTTAATAGAATAGCTCTAGCTTTGTCTTGGATGTTTTGCTTGTACAACTATACTATCAAAGTATTATATTTTGACTCCTTGATTAGTTATAGTTGTATGAGATTGCAAAACCCCTTGCTCATGCCAAAAAGAATGGGGAATAAAAGAGGTAATGTCTTTTTTCTTTTAAGAAGTTTATTTCAATAACTATTTAGCAAGTTCATTCATGTTCTGCAACTTATGAAGAATCTGTAATTGCAGTGGTGAGAGAAGAAGAGTAAACATGCTTTTTGTGAAGCCCTTGAAAAGGTCAAAGGAGGTCCAGTGCAATGCAACTTTCTCATTAATTATTATCTTTTGCTTTGCGAAGGTTTTTCACTTTGCATTATGAAATGAAGTAAAATTTTCCTATATGATTAGAATTTCAGTTATAACATGCATTTCTGCTAGTCATGGGTGTACTCCAATAATTAAGTTATTTTTCATTCAAATTTATTGATCCAATAATATTTTTGTCCTTCACCGTTGTTGTGATTTTTGTGTTTTTGTCTTAGTTAATAATATACAAATAGCTTACACATCTTTATGTTTGTAATCTATTTGACAAGTTATTTTTGTTATGAAATTTTTTATAGTGATGATACCATCAAAATATGTGGGTTTTGTGAAATTAATTATTTCTAAATTTAATTAGAGAATGTGTAGAGATGAGGAAGTTTTCATTTTTTAAAAATAATTATACACGCAAGAGTGCTTTTGAGAAGTGCTCACTTACGGGAGTGCTTCTCTTTGTTAGCACTCCTATATAATACTCTTGTTAGAGCACTTACGAAAAAAGAGTCTTTACAAGAGTGTTTCTTATAAAAGTACTCTCGCACACCATCTTACAAGAGTGCTTTAAAAGCGCTCTTATAGATGCTCTTGCAAGTGCATTTTGTAGTAGTGTTATTAATTAATTAGATAGATTTTTCTCTGCATTATTATGTGAAATTTGATTAATGATGTATCAACTTTTTCGTAGTTTGTAAATGTATGACATGTTATTGATTTATATTATGTATCGATGATTTTAATTTAAATATCTTTTAAAATATATAAATGAATTATGCCATTTTTAATTTTTTGATTTTAATTTATGTCAACATCTTTCCTATTTTTAAGAGGGAAAATTAATTTGCAAGTCTTGTAGTTTTACTTTATTTTGAATTAAATTTTTATAATTTATTTTGTTTTAACCAAATCTTTATAGTTTGACCAATTAAATATGTTAATACCTAGCTGTTAATTTCTTTTTTAATTTTCTCTTTAAAAAAAATGAAATTAAGGGCTTCTATATATTTATATAGTTTTATAAGTAATTTTATAATTTTTATAATTCAATATTTATATAATTAGTTTATATTATCTAAATAAATTTTTTTATATATAGAATTTTCATAAAAAATTTAATAAAAAATGTCAATGTTGTATTAAATCAAAATTTGTTGGTTAAGAGTATTGAATCATATTATGTATAAATGTGTTGGTTAAGTGTATTATTTATTTTGATACAGCCACAGGTTCCATAATTTCATTTAATACAACCACAAGATATATATAATTAGGCCAGTCCACCGAAATTCACTCAACAGAAAAATAGCAAACAAGATTAATTTCAATTAATTCAACCACAAAACTAAAAAGCAAGCAACAACATGAGTAAGGCAAAGGGGAAAAAAAAGACAGAACCATCAAATAATAAAATAATAAAATAAAATGCATATCTCCTCTACCATAGGAAGACTAAACGTACGCGAATGGCAATCAAATCACCGTGACATACTCATCACTCCTTGGGTGGCCACTCAATCAGGATATTCTGTAGATGCCTCATCTTCCTCTTTTCGACATTGAAATATCACGTATTTAAGTGAAGGAAACAATTCACAAACTTCGTGTTCTTTAATATTCAGCTTAGTGTGTTTGATGATCAAAATCTCCACATTCCACTTGCCAACTGGTTTGTCACAAAGATTTCCTCCATTTATGTAGAGATTCTTCAATTGCGTCAATTTGCTAGCTTGTAACCATTCTGGTATCTTTCTATTAGGAAAGCCTTTAAGATCTAACTTCTCTAGTGATGGCGGAAAAGAGACTACTTTAAGATTCATATTCAATGTACCCCAAGATATTTTGAGACACTTGAGATTTTCTAAATCCTGTAACCTGTCAAATTCATTTTCCTTGAGATCAGCTTCACTGCCTATGTGTATACTCAGTCTTTTAAGGCTCTTCAATCTCCAAAGATGCAGTTGCCTATTGTAAATCCCTTAAGCACTTGGAGTGAAGTGAGCTTGGCAAGCCCCCGTGGCAAGCTTTCCAGCAAGTAGCACTCTGATATGTCTAGGTGTGTTAGCTTCATCAATGACGTGATCTCATCAGGCAAAGTTTCTAGATTATGACAGGCTTTGAGATCCAGAATTTCAAGACTAGTCAGTTCAGCAATGGAGGCTGGAAGTTTTGTGATTCTTGAAACCCCACGGAGGCTGAGATACTTGAGATCCCTTTGAAATCTCAAACCTTTAGCAATGAATCACCTTTGACTTCTATGTGATGCTTAGGAGAAGCCTGCCAACGACCTAGTTGAAGAACCCTCAACCTCCTCAACTTAGAAAGCCAATCGTCTTCCCAACTAAGATAGCTCTTGTTTACATTAAAGACGGTCCTCAATGTACCAAAACTCGAGGATCCAATTTTCCGACCAGCGATCAAACAAGCATGGCGAGAGTTGTGATTAGGATCAAAACATGGTATCTTGCCATTGCCATCGTCGTCTAAGTGCAAAATCTTCTCCTTATTTGTGGCTATTGAGATCAACATGTAACGGATCCAAGGGTGAACTTGACATTTATTCACTGTTGGGCATGCGCCAGTACGACAGGGTATGATTAACTCGTGTTCCAGAAGCTTGACAAATATCTCTTCGCCCTCTTTTTCATCCTGGACCAGCCCTTCGCCAGTCCACCAATAAATGAGAAGCCTTTTCTTGAGGACAGCATTTTCAGGGAAAATTGCAAGAAGCAAAAAGCAAGTTTTCAGATGAACTTCGTCGCCAAGAAAGTCGTAACTCACCCGAAGACTTTCCACGACTGGATTGTCATGATCTTCCACAATGATCTTTCCCAATGAAGATAATTTTGGGGAGTAGTGCTCCTCATCCTGTGATCCTGAGTTGCCTACATTTAGATCGGTTTGTTTTGTGTTCTCTTGCTGCTTGGGATGTAATTGGTTGAGTGACTTGATTATCTCAGTGAGCTTGTCACGGATACATTTGAGATTGTTGGCGACTTCAACATTGCGATGATGGTCAAGGTCTAGAATCTTATGATGATGGCGATCCAAGTCTGAGAAAAGCTCAAGCACCTCCTCTTGCCACTCCTTGACTCTCTCGTGTTGACACATCAACTGGTTGATTCTTCCATTAATAGTCTGCAGGTCGGTCTCTTTGCCTGGTAAAACATTTTTATAGTTATTGAAGGTCTTTTTGAGGCTCTTCAGCAATGCAGGCACAGCTTTCGATGAATTTGATTGAATCGACATCCCTAATATGCAATGTTGTACAATTACCAGGTTTGGGATTGCAGTGAAACACACATACACTAATATTAAATTTATTTGGCTTCCGAGAGGCAGTGAGGCATAGGGAATCAAACCTTTTCTTTGTTTCTACGCAAAGATATGCAACATACTTCCCTAAAACGTCTGTCGGTCCACAGTAATTTTGAAAATGAAGATTATATATATGGACGAACGATCGAGAACCAACAAACAAAATGTGTGAACATGAAAAGCTAGAGTGGGGAAGAAACCCCATACGTGTACTGTGTAGCATAAATAAGAAGGAATCAAAAGGAGAGCTAACATCAATTTACATGAGTCTGTTGTCTTACTTTTTTGCCCTTTTTTTCCCCCCAAGAATCTATTGTTAGATGTCTAAAATAAAGAGAATTTCCAATTCTTGTGTCTATGAAGGAAACGAATCATATTGTCTATTTGCAGTGTTGTTCTTAATGTTTTTGCTAAAAATTCTATTTGGGCTTATATGAGGGAAGGAATGAAAAGGAGGAATGGGTAGTTATGACATCACTGTATTCTTTTTTACAAGATCACTTGATGGGAATCTAGGAAACAAAAACAAAAAAATCAAGCATTTCATTCTATGTCATATGGAGAAAGCAAAAAGACAATTTAATTTGTCTTCTTTTATTGTGATCTCGTCTTGTTGAAGTCACCCACCCTAACTTATGTCTCTCATAAGAGAATAAAGAGAGGACGAGCTGTTTACAACTTTTTTTTTTTTTTGAAAAATCTTATTTAAGAAATATATACATTTAAAAAAGACCCCTCGTGCCTTATAATAAGAAGGAATCAACAGGAGGAGCCAAAGAGAGAGGCATCATGTTCTTTTCTTTACTTTTTTTCCAAGAATCTCTAAAAGCCAAAGATTGATTCTCCCACACTATCATTCTTGATCTATCTCACTCTCATATGAAGAAAGCAAGAGGAGGCCTACCTATTTATGGCACCCTATTCATTCTCTTCTTTCCAAAACATATTGTTGGAAGTATGAAGCACGGTATTAAAACCTAGCCCTGAGTGTTCATACTAGTGAACTAGTGAACTAGTTCCCTATTGGTTTTGGTCTTAAATTTTGAGCAAGTCAACTTGTTAGATTTTATGTATATTTCTCTCCTTGCTAAGCCTAAAATGATAACATTTTGAGTTAAGCATAGTTGGGTTGATCTTAGTTTAACCGCAATTTATATCGTTGATCCTTGAACTATTACCTGGACCAATTTAGTGACCAATCCATGTTCTTACTATTCTTTTAGTAGTAAACCATATAGTGTCCAAAGGCAACAGTTCTAGCTAATCTAGATTAAGTCATATTAAGACTCTTTAAACTAGAAGCTCTACCACCAAATTCTAGTATTTTCTTAAGACTTAAATTAAAGACCTCTGGTTAAGTTAGTACAACTCCCTTACCAATTGAACCAAGCACTTGTTGGTAAATGCTAACTATTTACATTTATACTATTGTTCTTTTTTTTTTTCATTTTTCATTTTTCAAAATCTTCTTCGTTGTCAAGAGAAGCAAAAAGATCTAGGATTAACTATTTACAAACTGTTATTTTCTTTTCAAAATCTCTTTTTGGAAGTTTGCAAAAATAGATTCTCCTGTCTTGAAGTGTCTCTTGTGAAGGAATCAAAAGATTGATTGCTTCTTTACGACATCTTTGTTCATTTTTTTTTTCAAAACTTTTTATTGGAAGTATAAAAAAAAAAACTATATGTCATGTGTCTCCTGATAAAAATAATGTAATACTAGTCAGTTTTAACATTGCTTTGCATTATTAAGATTCAATAAATTAAATGCCTTGAATAGTACTAAAATTGGATTTCCAATATTAATATTCCAAAAAGAATATAATATTGCTTTCATACTTTGCATTATCTTCTTCTGGATTGCACAGTGTTGCATACATATTATATTAATGTTACAAGGATTTATAGCATTGACTGATAATAATCAGGATACCAACCATTAGCAATATATGATCAAATTTTCACTTATATCATCAATGAATTAATTAACTTGCTCTCCTCTGCACCAGTGGGGTGGTTTTACACCATGTTTGATTCAAAAGAAGGGAGGGAAGATATTTTAAAACAACAACTTGAAAATTTAATATTATTATAAGCAATGGTAGAGGGAGAGGGTACTAGCAGCCCCTCAATTTTTAAAATTTTCTTTGTATTATATAGATGTTACATATTTTCGGTTCCCTAAAATTTTTGAAAACTTTGTAGTATACATATATATATATATATATATATTTAAATTTTGTCTCCACCCCTAATTATAAGGTTAATAATATCTAAAATATTTTAATTAGAAGGCTCCATTCCAAGAAAATGGGTTGGGCTTCTACCCAAGTGATAATGATGTTACAGCCATGCAACTGGACACATCAACACTGAATCCAATAGACCTATACATATAAAAAATAGTCTGTGCAAAAAAAAACGGAAGAAAGAAATAGTATAAAACTATATATGCCAAACAACGTTTTATCCAGAAGTTGCTTATGCATCTTAATTTGAAGGTTTCAACACGCATTAGTAAGAGGATTCAAGTACAAACAATCTTTTTTATTGGATTGAAGCTATAAAATATGTTGAACTCTGATTTTGATAATTACAAAATAAGAGAACACAAAAGTTTGTGTTCTGCAGGTTTAATAATTATAAAATAATAGCTTATAAGGGAGTTGGTTATCTTTGAGTTTTGATTCTGATTCTCGTGTCTTGTTCTCATAGTTCTCCTTATTCCCAAATATATATGTCTTATTCCTAAATAGCCATGAAACACATAAGCTTGTCCTGTATCTTTTCAAATTGTGTTTCTTTCTAAAGATTAAGTATTTGAGTTGATCTTAATTCCTTAAGGACCTCTTGCATTGCTTGAAAGGTGTCTCAAGTGAACTTAGAGTCAAATATCCTAAATATGAGAGCCTGCCATTTTTCTGTATAATGGTCCTTATTTTGGAATAGCACCTTTATTTTGAAATAGCTTATTCTTGAGTGGACTTCTTTATTCTCAAGTATCAACTCTCTTGTCTATTCAAAAATAGCTTAATTAGGAATAGTTGTCCTTATTCAGGAATAATGTTCTATTCTTCAAGCTTATTCGCATTGCGTCTTTCTGAAATCTCTTATTCAAGAATAGCTTATTTAGGAATAGTCTATTCAGGAATAGCTTATTTGGAAATAGCTCTCATTATTATCAAATAAAGATCTTTAGATCAATGCTTATGTATATTTCTTCCTATTTATTTGCCTCATTTCGAAGTATGCCTTGTTTTCCTCTCGTATTATGTTCTTCACTATTTCAAAATAAGTCTCTAATATTTTGAACTATGCCTTTCATACAATGATCTATTTCTCTAGTCCAAAATAGAGGTTGTTCAAGACTCTCTAGATTCATTTTCAATTCTTCTTCTGAGAGTAGTAATTGCTATTTATAATCTCTAGAGTTATCCTAAATGCATTCTTGGGATAATTTGAACTTAGTTTGATCGCTATTCAATAGTTCTTTATTCCTAAATAGCTTTGTTCTTTCAAAAGAGTCTCCCACCTATCTTATCAAAACACTTAATAAAAAGAGCCATTATTTTTCCTTACTTGCTGTGAAAGAGAAAGCTCTGCCAAAAAGCATTATTTCATTGCCCCAGTTCAGTGATTGCTCAGATAACTCAGAGGAAAGAAGACGATGACCCTAATGGCTATATTCATGAGTGTAACGGATCATTTACAGACTCTAATTATAAATATAAGCATTTATGAAGATGGAGTTTAATGAACAAACTTGAGCTATTCGTATTTGTTGCTTACCAACTTTTTGAGTTTACATTTATTACAAGTGAGTTTTATTGATTATATATCAACTCTAAGTGAGTATATTTAATAGTAGTTGTTAATTATTAAACATACTCTATTTGTCTTTGTTTTTCTACTTCATAACAGAGCAACTTAAACTGGGAGTTTAAGTGGGTTATATCTTTATTTTAAGTCTGAGATTGTATTGTAGTTACCAAGAGCCTAAATTAATCTTGGTGAAGTTAGTGAAAAAATCTCAAGTGGTGCTTGAGGACTGGACATAGGATTAGGGGGTCGGAACTGAACTAGGATAAATATCTAAGCAAGCTTCTCTTCCTTTCCCTTTTTAGTGTTTGGTGATATCATCTAAACTGATTATTTGAATTTTATTATTATTTGTTAATTTTTTTTATTAAGCACAATTCACCTCCTCTTAGGTGAACTTTCAAAACATGGTTTTAAACACCTTATTAAGTAAATTGAACGAAGTACATCTTTAGCTATACCTCCACCCACAAGTAGTTTTGCCCTTGCATGGCCTTCTTTAATCTGGAACTAAGCCTCTAGACCAAAGTGAACCGTTAAAAGACAAACAAAAGAAATAAATTTGCCACCTTTACTCAATAACTGCACATGTTCCTTAGGTTTGCAATGACTCGTGGCAAATGATAGTAATTCCATCCACATAAGACAAATAATTTCCCACTTCTTATCCTCTAACTTGTCTAACTCCTTGGCAAACCTACATGCTTCAAACAATACAGATTTGCTCTTATCCCCCTTCACATCAACGGGTCTATGCTCTGTTGGCATTTCTTCTGCTCTAGCATCAACCTTTTTTTAAAGAACTTCTTGGCCTCTTCACAAGTATCTCAAAACCTTATTTGTCAAATTCCTGCCACTATAGACATTATTGTAGGTTGCATAATTAAAAGGCATAATATGTAATATGATGGAAGCTGACTAGTGGTTTTTTTTTAATCCCTTTCACCATCATCAACATTGGCATCTATAAAGCAGCAAATGGTGGTAGCAATGTGCCATAATAGGAGGCTCTCATCAAGAGAAATATTTGAAACATCCCTCCTTCATATATTGAATTTATTTGATTTTAAATAATAACATTATAAAAAAACTCACTTTTTTTAAAATAACTCTAC